ATAATATACACTGTGTGTCAGCCAAATGGAATAAATTAGCTATTAAATAAATGAAAAAGTATTTAAAAACGGTCGAACACGTCGATTAGTGTTTATAGTTGCGGTTTAAAAAAAAACTTTTTATATGGGGTGTATCAGATAACGGTGGCCAATACCAACTTGCTTATTTAAAATAGAATACCCTGTATGTTAATTAATTTTTAGATTCCTCAGATCAATTTATACATTTTTTGAATACAATATCCTATACCTATCGTTGACTGTTTCGGAAATATTAAGTAAAATGCAAAAATTCACATTTAGAAAAGAAAATTATTTAGTTGTCGAAAGTTGCTACAACATATTCTAAAACTTCTAAATAATACAAATCTAAACAAAAATGTAAATGTAGAAGATATTTAAAATGTTCTCCACGAACGTCTTGGCAATACCCTAACAGTTAATAGAAATTTCTTCTAACGCTACTCAGTGGGGTTAGTTTTGTATACAACACTTTTCACACATAATTATAAGAAAAAGTCAAGTGGCGTCAAATCAAGGGATCATGGTGGCCATTCCATATATCCGATTCCGATTTGGAAATTGGAGTACTGTTGGCCACGAATTTATTAATGGGATGGTGCTCCACTTTGCAATTAAACGCTGGTAACTTTATTACTAGTGGACCAGATAAGCGGCGATATATTTTACACTACCTTTATGAATACCTAAATGAATATTTTACTGCTCTGTGGTTTAAAGTAGCCCTGCTCTTTTTCAATTCGTGATCTTATTTCTGTTTACTGGTCCCATTTTGTGTTGACTGTGATTCCAAGGTATGTGTATCTCTCCACTAGTTCTATTTTTCGGTTGTTTAATGTCAATTGCATCGGAGGTTGTTGTGTTCTGATGATGAGCATGCATTTAGTTTTGGTTGTATTGAGTTCTAAACCATATTCTTGACTTGCTGTGTGTATGCTTTGCATAAGTCTTTGAAGCTCGTTGCAGTCATTTGCGATAATAACTGTGTCGTCAGCATATCTAATATTATTGATTACCTCTCCGTTTACTTTGATACCCTCCGAAACTTCTTCCAGTGCTTCTCTGAAGATTTGTTCAGAGTATATATTGAACAGGAGCGGCGAGAGGACGCATCCCTGTCGTACACCCTTTTTAATATCTATCTTCCCACTGTGTAAGTTGCCCATCTTTATCTCAGCACTTTGGTTCCATTAGAGACTTGTTATTATGCGCCGATCCTTGCCATCAATATGCATCTTCCTGAGCATTTCCATGAGTTTATCATATTTGACCTTGTCAAACGCCTTGGAGAAGTCGATAAAGCACAAGTGGACGTCCTTGTGCATGTGTCTGCATCTTTGAATTAAAACTTGCAGACTGAAGATCGCCTCTCTTGTGCCCAATGCGCTTCGGAATCCGAACTGTGACTCCGATATATTTGCTTCGCATTTGTTATATATTCTATTGTGTACGATTTTGGTGAAAACTTTGGTAATGTGATTTATCAAGCTTATTAAGCGGTGTTGATCACAGTGTTTTGCACTTAGTGTTTTAGGTATGGCTATAAAGGACATTCATACAGGAATCGAAGCCATTCCTCCGGAATCTTCCCTTTATCGTAGAAGGTGTTAAAAGGGCCTGTCAGAAAATCGAGGAAGTGGTCATCCGTTTCGCATAGGAGTTTTATGATCTCGTCCTGTACGTTGTCGGGACCTGGTGTTTTGTCATTTTTTAGCGATGAAATGGCTTTTTTCACTTCAGACCTTAGTATTTCGGATCCAGTCATGTCATTATTTTGGTCCACTGTCGCTCTGCGTTTATCGTTAAAAAGTCGTTCTACGTAATCTTTCCATGTGTCAATGAGCTTCAAGTCGTCTGTTATAAGGTTACCGTCTGCGTCTATTAGTGTCGGGTGGGGATTATTGGTTTTCTTTTTAGTTGTTAATTCTTTGATCTTTTTGTGCATGTTGTGGTAGTAATATCTTCTGTCGCACTCTTTGATTTCATCGCATTTCTCCTTCAGCCAGCGTTCCTTCGCTTCTTTAACTTTGTTTTTATATTGTGACTTGTTTCTTGATACTTCACTTGATTTTTGCATTTGTGTTGTCTTCTTTCTTCCATCATATCAAGGATTTCATCCGTCATCCATTCTATCTTCTTTACGCGCTCCTGTAACAGAAGTGTCTTGTTTGTCATTTCAACAGCTCTTTTTATTTCTTCCCATTTAGCAACTGCGTCTTGTGCGGGTTCACTCAAGTTTCCAATGTTTTTTCTTAAGGATTCCTGTACTTGTTGTTTAATGTTGGGATCCTTTTATTTCCTTATATTTATCGTGGTTTTGTTAGGCTTCTCTTCTATACGTTTTAGTTTGATTCCCAGTTTACCAACCACTGGGTTGTGATCCGATTGAGCGTCAGCCCCGGGATAGGTTTTCACTGATGTGATTGAGTTCCTGAATCTTTCTGGTATGGCAATGAAGTCGATCTGGTTTCTTACATTTGTTTCTTTCGAGTCTGCTGGCGAATTCCAGGTGTAAATTCTGCGAGGGGATTGTTTAAAAAAAGTATTAGTTATCAATAGTTTTTGTTCCTGACAGAAGCGTATGAGACGTTCCCCTCTCTCGTTTCTAGTTCCTAATCCGTGTCCGCCCACAACGTTTGGCACCTTACCTCTGCCGACCTTTGCATTGAAGTCGCCCATTATTAATGTCTTCTTCTTCTTTAAGTTCCATCTTCTATCGAAGGTTGGAAATCATCATGGCTATGCGGACTCTGTTGACTGCCGCTCTAAAAAGTTCTGCACTACTGCATTCAAACCATTCCCTTAAGTTCTTAAGCCAGGATATTCTTCGTCTTCCCACATTTCGCTTTCCTCGGATTTTGCCCTGCATAATAAGTTGTAATAATGCGTATTTTTGCCCTCTCATCACATGTCCCAAGTACTCAAGTTTTCGTCTTTTAATAGTTAATATTATTTCCGCCTCATTTCCTATCCTTCTAGTTACTTCCATGTTTGACATTCTTTGAATCCATGATATTCGTAGGATTCTTCTGTAACACCAAAATTCAAAGGCGGCCAGCTTATTCAGATGAACTTGTTTTAGTGTCCAAGCTTCCAGACCATAAAGAAGAGTAGAGAACACGTAACATCGAAGCATTCTCAGGCGTAGTTCTAACCTTATATCCCGACAACAAAGAAACTTTTTAAGTTTAATAAATGATGTACGTGCTATTTCAATACGTGTCTTAATTTCTTTGGTTTGGTCTACATCTGATGTTATCCATGTTCCTAAATATTTATAGTTATTAACATTCTCAATTGCAGTATCTTCAATAGTCAATTGGATATTTGCATGTGCAGATTTAGTCATAATCATGCATTTAGTTTTCTTTAAATTTATCTTCAGTCCGTACTCATGACAGCGTTCATTAAGGCGTTGCATTAGGTTCTGTTATTATTAATGTCACTTCGCTTTTCTTGGTCATTCTCATCAGGATCTCCAGTTGTTGGTAAAATTCTTCCACAATCTCGTCATTTTTGTCTGCTGTTGGCGCGTATACTTGTATGCTATTTAGATCGAGTGGATATGCTTTCAGCTGAAGGAGTGACATTCTGTCTGAGAAGGGAGTGTATGCTTTTACTGCACTTTTTATAGATGGGGACATGATTACGCCTACCCCATTTCTGTGTGTCTTACTGACATTTCCGGAGTAGTAGATTGTGTGGTTTCGAATTTTACATTGCCCAGAGTTAGGCCACTGAGTTTCACTGACTCCTAGTATATTAATGTCAAGTCTTTCCATCTCTTTGACGATATTGTGCGCTCTGCCGCTTTCATACATGGTTCGCATATTCCATGTAGCAATCTTTATGCTCCCGGGGATTCTTCGCACCATATGCCCATCTAAGGGCTGCCGAAGACTTAGGGCCATTTCTACTTTGTCGCTTGCCATGTTAACTATACTAGGGATATCTTATAGATCTTTAATGCGGTAGTTTCCCGTTGCTTTCCGCATCTCCATGCCGTTAATCAATCTTGATTCCTCCGCCTTTAGAGGTAATTTCTCGCCTCTAGGACAAGGGGTTGCCCTACCACTTGTCAATTCTTCCACCCGAAGCTGTTGACCGACAAGTGGGGGACTACTTATACCGGTAGTCATTCGGTGAAATTTTCGACATATCTGTCTACCCTCACTTAGTTTAGCCTGCAGACCAATACAGTTGCCCGGAGTGTGGCGCGTGGAGCCATAAGTTTTACAACATTCACAACATTCTTACGGAACATAAAATAAAAAAAATTAAATCATTTACTTTTCAAGTAATTGGAATTATTAAACTTAAAGCCACTGTTTGAGGCCCACTGATCATCGCTTAATTTGATGTTGGTCTTTATACAAGGCTTTTAGTTAATATACTAACGGTATAAATTAGGTATATTCGGGACCATCTCTCGGCCGATCGGTACATTTCGCTCGTACGGCGCCAAGTATATAAAATTTGAAACTGGTCCATTTTGCACCGCGGTCGATATTCCCCACTCTCGTCTATATGTTGGTATGGTTAGGTATTGAGCCATGTTCAACATTGAAATAATAATCGCCCAATATGAAGAATTGTTGAGTATTCAGTGCTTGAAAGGATTAAAAAAGAGTTAAAAAAATGGCGGTAGACATATATAAGATACATCAAGGAAGGTAATTGTTTTTGACATATCTTATATATAGAAACGTACAAAGGAATGTGAATACAAAGATACGCATTGAGATGACGAATTTAATTAATAATTAAATTATTAATTTTTCAATACCAATTCCAACAGAATATCGTTAAGTGCTTGGTTAAAAATAGCCCTACATTTTAAAACAGTGCAAATGTTTGCAGTCCATTATTCATAATTAAGCTGTGTCACTTAATCAAGATTTCAATTGCTAATGGCTTTTATTAATAAAGCCGATAAACATTTTTAACGTGTTTTCTCTTTATTAGTTATTTTTGTGCGGTTCGTCAACATGTTAAGTGTCACGCTTATCTTGCTACTGTTTGAGTTAACATTTGGTAGGTCTCCATTACATTTTTATATATCGAAAAACTTTATTATAGTGATATTTTGCAAATTTTAGCCAAATAACATAACTACATACATTTTTCAGTATAGATAAGATCTATTTGTACATAATTCTGATTTACATATTTTAAAATAATAACAACAATTACTATTTGTAGTAACCTAATGGAAGTGAACGCTTGCAGTAAATATGTAAATACTTTATTTTACGTTTAAACTTCCTTTGATGTATTCATTCGTAATTTTATCATTTTTTGTCAATTCAGTCATCTTTTTAAACAACCTAAGTTATTTCAAAATAAATGACGGTTGCGTTTCGATTAAATTTAAGTCTCTTACCACTCCCTGACACGTGTTTTTGGGTCTACCGGTCATCAGAAGGAGTTTGTAAGAAGACTCAAACCAAATCAAAACGCACCGACTACTAAGGCAATTATAGTAAAAATAATTACCAGAGTATGCTACTAGAGGCCTCTAGTGAGGAAACATGAATATTTAATTGCTATCGATATTTAACTAAGTTATACATTGATGGTCTTATAGCAGCGTTTTAGAGTTTCCCCTTCAATTTCATTGAAATTTGTTGGTCTTGCTTCCTTTTACTTTATCCATCCCGCTTTAACTCTACTGCTTTAATTCTAATGCATCTTCATCTGTTTACCTGTTACTCTCTATTACTGATCCTAAGTACTGAAATTTATTAGTTTTCACAATCAATGCTCACTCCAAAGTTATCATCTTATTTTTATTTGTAGTAGTAACTCTATTTTTGTTTAAATTACTGTCTTAAATCTGTTTCTTAAAGACCTCCTACTAAAACTACATTAGCATGCATTAAGCACCAGGAAATATCACCTTCTAGTTTCCTAGAAATCTGATTTGACACTAATGAGAATAAGTACTAAGCACGCATGTAATTCTACTTTTACAAAAAATTTATCAGTTTATCACATACCTGTTCTAATACTAGTTGTTACTCTTTTATACCTATGTAGATCTATGCTTTCTGCCTTACTGCTGACTTCTTTCTTATTTTAAAGAATCCCAGAGAGACTCTAGCGCAACTTTATCTTTTATAAAGAAAACATAAAATGAAGTAAAAACTTCTTTTAATAAAATAGTGTTACTTTTTGAATCTTTTAAATCTGAATGGACCCTCAGGTGCCGTTAACATATTTTAAATATTGAAGCTTCTTTTGAATAATAGTTTTTTAATTACTATTTAAGAAAATAGCTTCAGAACAATAGTTTTTTAATTGAGTAGTATCTAGTGGATAATTGAGGTATAAGTATCAAATTACGTCATCACGCATACGTGGCGTGGTCGGCACCGAACAAAGAACTGCATGTTAGGTGCCGGCTACGCCACAGTGGTGTTTTAGTTACTTCTGCTGTATTTTAGGGTAGAATAATTCAAGTCAGACAGAAATGTTTAAACATAAAGCAGCAAAACAAAACAAAATTTGAACATAAAAACTAAATTGTACATAAAATAAAATCAAAAATATAAAATATAAGATTATTTTGAATGCCCCATTCTAAAACAAGGGTTTAAACACAATCCTGGTTGACCAACGCATAGATTACAAAAGTAAGGAGTCATATGTCTCTTGTTTTGAGTTTTATACACTCTACAGTCTTTTCTTTGAGCCCGTTTATGGTCATCTGTTCGTTCAAATTTTGACGGCAAATGGTGTGATTCGTTTGCTTTTATAGTTTTTTTGGGACAATTTTCAGTTTGGGCTCCCTCCAAAAGTTCCTCAATAATGGCCAAACGAAAATCATATAAATTTTTTCTTTGGCCAGAATACGCATTGAATAAAAAATGAGAATTTATGAGCATTACTTGAAAAAAGTGGATACATATTTTTTTTGTACCACCTTAAGCTTTTACGCTCACATGGGTTGTAAGTCAACATTTGATATTTACGATCTACACCCGACATATTTTTATTTATGTGCAATGGTCTCAAGCTTTTCTTTTTCAATACCTCTTCTGTTCGAAACCATCACGAAATCACCAGAATACTCTGTAGTAATAAATGAAACATCCCTTTTATCACGCCACTTTCCAATAAGAACACCAGAATTGTTATTACATTTTAGAATAATTTCACCTCTCTTGAGTGTAGAACTTACAAATTCATGAGAATTTCCTTTACTATTCAGTCGTAATGTTCCTGTGCAATAAGTCTTCCGCTCGAGAAGGGCAACCGACAATATGTAACTATTGTAGAAATTGTCTATGAATAAAGAATGACCTTTATCCAGGTATGTCTCCATTAGTTGAAAAACAACGTCTGAGGTATGCCCCCTTTCACTAGATTGAACTTTTGGTCCAGTATACACAGCTATTTTTAGAGTAAGTCCGTTAGGTTCAGCCACAACATAAAGTTTCACCCCGTACTTATGACGTTTGCTCTTTATACTGCCTGAACTGCAGTCGGTCTCTCCACAAAACCATTGATTCAACAATGCATACATTTTTAGACGGATAATATATTTGAGACATTTTTTGGTTGAAGTAATCGACAATCGGCCTCAATTTATATAATCGATCTTGAGGAAATGTATCTCCAATACCTGGATTTTTTACAAAATGTAGCAACGTAAGATTAACAGGAAACGATTTCTTCCCATATAGTTACTGAAGCAAGTAAGATTGAACAATTTGTGTTTCTTCCAGTAATCATTTATTCGGTTAATTTTAATTGTTCCCATATGTAAAACCAAACCAAAAAATATACGCAATTCCCCTATAGTAATTGGTTTCCACTCCGTTATTCTAGATTTCTCTTTTCCAGCAGACTTAAGAAAATTTCTTCAGCATACCTATTTGTTTCATCAACGACAAGTTGAAAAAATGTGTCATCTGCTAAAAGATTAAAATAATCTATCGGATTATTGCCTTCAGGTTGAACTAATAATCCACAATTTTCCGTAAAAATGATATTTTGTTTGATCATAGGTGGATCGTCCCATATATAATTATTTTGATTAGTAAATATCAGTACCTGTACCTCAGCAGCGATGCCAGTATCTTCATGGTTATAATGCTGTGATTCACAATCCGAATCCTCATCGTATTCTTCCAGTATTTGTCGTAATTCTTCATTCGTTAAAGGCTTCTTTAATTCGAATTCTGCTCTTCTTTTTTTAACGCCAGACGAACCAGGGTTATTGCCAAAAGCCATAATCAAACACTTTTAATTACTTACAAAACAAAATCCTGACTTTCGAACCGATATGAAATTTTGAGACACAATAAACCTTCTCGAAGTCTGATAGCTATAAAGCAAGTGCCGACTACTTAAAAACTTTGTTATTAGCAGACATGTACACCACGCACCTATGGCGTGGTCGGCATAGGGCGCATATAGCCGAGCACGCCACAGTGGCGTGATCGGCAATGAATGAGTTGAGGTTTCCATCACTCTGTTTATCGAAAACCCACCCATACCAATAGATACTTGCATGCCAACTCTCATCATCCACATTTACAAATGAATTTAGTCATTAATACCTTGACTGCGGCAGTTAAATACTTAATTTACTAGTTCTTGAGTTACATGCCTCCTGAGATACTTTACGGTCTATTCTGTCTGTGCTTCACATACCCCCTACTTTATGTCCTCTAGTACACAGAAGTATAACTTTCGTATATATTATATATCGAAAACTATTAAAGAAGTATTAATCTACCTTCCTCTCAAACAGGACATGCCGCCAATATGCGGTGTAACACAGACAGCTAACCAAATTTTCTCTTGGAGGTCATCATTATTTAATCTTCGCTTATCCACTGCTGGACATAGATCTCCTTCTTAATTCTCCCTCTTGGAGGTAATTGGATCAAATTTAAGGTGTTTATAAAAACCAAATACAATATATTAAAATAAATAGAACAAACGCATTTTAAAACTGATTGGTAATTTCTGGTTCTTATTATTAATTATGTGCCTTATTAAAACAAGGCAAACAGAATCCAGGTTGACCAGGGCAATCGGAACAAAAATTTATAATCCCACAAACTTTTTTATCCACTTTACGATACCTTAAACCTGAAGATTTTAATACTTGACGACAGCCTCTACATGGCTTTCGTCGTTTCCTTCCAGGTCCGTCAGGTTTGTAAAAGTATGCACTCTTTTTTTTTTTGGAAGTGGTGTTTCTTTTCATGATTGTATTAAATTAAATATGCTATCTGACATCCAACTTCTATAATGCCCATTTTTGTTTCAGAGCACATATTAAATATAATTAAACTATTAACAATAGCTGTTCCTAATATATTCTTAAATACTACTTTTCTAAAAAAATATTAATAAAAAAGAAATAATAAAACTAAAACTTATTTTTTTTTCTTACCGGTACCATTTCAAGCTTCGACTTGGTAAGATGACATCTAGTCAGAATAGTCTACGCCTTTTTTAGCAGAGATGTAATCAATTATAAATTTTGGTTTCACAATATCCTCTTTTTGCTTATTCTGCTTTTCTGTTGAAATCAACTGTTTAGTAGGCTAGGACACTTGAAATCATTGACACAGGTCTCTTATCCATCCAATTAATAATTAGTCCAGCTTTTTTTCCATTGACTCTGTTGGTTTCATCTTCTTAGACTGGTTTAAAATAGGTGGTATTCCTTTTCTGTTTCCTAATGGAGTCCCATGGTATAGAACTTTTCAGTGCGTCACAGTTTTTCGATTTCTTTCTAATGCATTAAGTTGGATGTGACGGAGAAAGCGGTAGTTCGGTGATTAAACAGAACTATACTGCAGCGTTAGAATAAGTTTACATACATAAGCGGTTCTTTCCTAACCTACGTTTGATTCGTTGATATTTAGATGCGCGCTTTCTCTAGCCAATCAAATACGCCTATTATTGACAGTTGACGTAAAACTTCGTCCATGCTGGCCATTCTTTCGAAGTGTTCCAACAGCAAGTGACGGCTGTCGTTCAGGTCAATATTTGCCCAGAATATAGACGCT